AGGTCAGCCATCTGCTGCTGATGCTAGTTAAGATATGGTTTTTCCAGTAATTGCTTGTTCAGCTTGTGGTCAGTCCAGTAACTGCTTGTTCAGTTTGTAGTCAGCTAGTTCCTGGAACATAAACGTTTACACAAGATCGAAAGTATAGGTTCTTACAATACTGGGGTGTGGGGACATTATTTAAAAAATTTTTCTTTTACGCCTTCCTTGTTTTCTCAGCTCACTGCGTCTAGCCTCATCTCTCTATTCCAGCTGACAACTTTAGCCTACAGGTCACTGGCCTTTGCAATCACCTGCATCAGCCAACACCAATTACAACCATGTGTACTGTTTCCCTGATGGGTTTTGAGTTTGTATGAGACCTTCCAGTGGTTTAGAAACCCAGAGATACAGACAGGAGTTGGGAGTGCTGAGGGCAGAAGAATTGATGTCAGAGATGACAGGGTGGTTTCGCAGTTTGGACTTTTGGAATATTTTTAACTGTCACTTATTGGAACTAGTGTTGCACCAATCATTGTAAAAGAAATTATTCATGCACTGCTTGCCTTAGGTTGGATTCATCTGAAAGGTAAAATCAGGGAAGCTCTTATCTCTATCCACATAGAAAGCGATGTCGAGGAAATGGCTCTTTGGGTGATGTTGTTGCCATGGGGCTGACCACAACTCCTAGCAACCCTGTGAACAACAGATCTCGACTTTGTCCTGGCCTGTGCCATGCTCACCATCTCTGATTTGCTGGAGCCCATTGCTACAGTCACGGGGTCAGTCTGTTTTGTTGAGGATCTTCCTCTCTTTCTTTGACCTTCCACTTTTTTCAGCATGTTGTCATTTTCCAAGGAGTGGCCGAAGCAAGTTTCACCATCCTTGCCTTGAAGGAGTGCTCTGGTTGCCCTTCTTCTAAGACAAACTGGTTCTTTTGGCAATCATGGGATAGTCAGTACTCTTTGCCAAAACCGTAGCTCAAAGGCATTGATTTTTTTCCATCATTCTTAGTCATTATCCAACTTTTCAGATGCATAGGAAGTAGTTGAAAAGACCCCATGGGTTGGACCATGTGCACCTTAGTCTTTACACTGACATTGTTAGGGAGCTCTGGTGGCCTAGTAGCAAGAAGCTGAGCTGCAATCCCAAAGGCATATGGTTTGAATCCACGAGCTGTGCCGCTGAAAAAAGAGGGACAAGATCCTCCTGTGCCGGTCAGATACAACTCAATGGTGCAGAACAAGAAAAAAAACAAAAAACACCACCACCACCACAAACCCAAAACAACCAAAAAAACCTGACATCCTTGCTCTTTAAGACTTTTGAGAGCAGATGTTCCTAATGCAATACATTTTAAAATTGCTTGGCAGCCGTTACCATGGGAGTTGACTGTGGATCCAAGTAAAATTACATCATTGGCAATTTTAATGTTTTCCCCATTTATCATGATGTTGCCTTATGTGTGCAGTGGTGAGGACTTTAGTTTTCCTGAGGTTGAGATGTAATTCATATTGAAGGCTGTAGTCTTTGACCTTCTTTTCATGGTCCGTGGTATAGTCAGTACTCTTTGTTATTCCAATTCAAAGGCATTAATTTTTCTCTGGCTTTTCTTATTCTTTGTCCAACTCTTGTATGCATGTATTTTGTTGTTGTGTACTGTACAGTCAGAACCAACCCATAGCTGACCCTCCAGCAGGTTTTCAAAGGCAATATAATTCTACAGGAGGAGATTGACCATTCTTCTCCCAAGCAGCAGCTAGTGGTCTTGGACTGCATGCCTTCGGGATTTCAGAGCAGCTTCTTGAGGCATGAAAATACCATGGCGTGGGCGCCCGAGCCTTCAAATTGTCCTCCTTTCTTTTTAGCCCTCTAAAGTTCAACCAAATGGGCGGACACAGTGAGTGCAGCAATGGGTCTGAGTGTGTCAGAGATTGTGAGACTGGCACAGGAGAGGACAGGGCTCATATCTTTTGTTCCTAGGGTTGCTGTAAGTTAACAGCACCTGACAACAACTCTGTTTTAGCAGAGTGCAGCTCATGCTGCTGGAGAGGTTTTTTCAGACTAAGAATTCTGTAGTTATCTATTTACAAAAATTACCTGTTTACGATCTTGGCATTTGCGCCAAAATACTGCCAATTTCCTAGTATCTTTTTTTTTTTCATCTTTTGATGAAAAGAAATTTTATTCTCATATGCTCTTAACTTTCTAAAATATGAAAAGTCTTACGTTGTGAGGCATGTCTGGTCCAAACGGTTTTTATAAACAGGAATTATCTATAGGTTATTGGGAGGATTAAATGTGCTAATACAGGCAACTTGATTGTGTTAGTATATGGCACTGAGGTAAGCTTTTACTAAATTTTTTCTTCGTTAAAAGCAAATTTTTATTATAAGAAGGCAAACAACTTGGCACATAGTTACTTATTATTGAGCTTTGGGGTAGCATGAGGGGTTAAGTGCTTGACTCGTATGTGAAAGGCTGGCAGCTGGACCCTTCTGGAGGTACATAGGTAATTGCCAGTCCTGGCCATCTGTTGTGAAAAGTTTAAAACCTTGAAAACCCTTCTCTTCCGTTCTACTACTCATTACACGGACCCTATCACATTTAACATTAGCAATGGCTTAGGTCTATGAGATGAAATCCATTCATGAAGTGCCTATTAAGTACATTGATATTGTCAAGAAAATGCCAATATTGTTAGAAATAGAACAACTCATTGCCATGGAGTTAGAAATGACCCATAGCCGACATTCCAGTGTTTGGGATTTTTTTTTTCTTGTTGTTGTTGTTTTAAATTTCTTCCTTTTTTTTTTTTCTTGTTGCATACTGTCATATCACATCCAACTGGCACAGGAGGAGAATGTTTTTGCAGCACAGCATCTGGTGGATTTGAACCACATGCCTTCAGGATTTCAGTGCAGCTTGTTTAACACTTGGCCACTAGAGCTCCTCCAGTGGATTTTGAGAGGCTGTAAATCACAAGAGGAGAGATTGTCCACCTTTCTCTACAAGGAATAGCTGGTGGATTAGAATCACTAGCTTTTGGGTTGGCAGGAACTCCTTATTCACTAGGCCACCAGACCTCCCTTAGAATATAAAGTACATTTTCTGAGGAGTAAAAGTTTGCATCGAGGGGAGCGCTGGTGGCCTAGTGGCCAGAAGCAGCACTGCAATCCCAGAGATAAACGGTTCGAATCTACCAGATGCTCTGCCGGAGAAGGAGGAGCCATCTCCTCCTGTACCAATCAGATTCGATTTGACGGTACACACACACACACACACACACAATAATAATAATAAAAATTAAAAAAAAGTTTGCATCTGCAACTGTTGACCAAAGAAAGCTCAGAATTATTGAGGAGCAATGATGTCAATTTGAAGACTAAGGTGCACCTAATTCAGGCCACAATCTTGCTGTGCATCTGAGAGCTGGACTGAATAAGGGTGACAGAAGAATTGATGCCTGTGAGATGTGGTGTTGGAGAAGAGTACGGAATATTTCATGGGGTGCTAAAAGAATAAACGCGCCATGGAGAAAGCGCAACCAGCCAGGAGAGGTTATTCCTTGGAGAGGAAGTCCTTTCCATGCTTGGAAAGCTGGAGGGAGGGTTGGAGAAAGCATGGAAGGTCAACGTCCAGATGCAGTGACACAATGACTGCCATAATGGGCTCTTGTGTGTCAGGAAGTTGACAGGGTTCAGATCTGTTGTTCACAGGCTCGCTAGGAGTCCTACCGGACTGGAGGGCACCTAACAACAATAACAACAGCTCTCATTGCTTCCTACTGGAGGGCAATGAGTTGGCAGTTTGATCAACAGAGTCATCATGTACGGGTCCTTTTTCTGACCGGCTGACTAGTTTAGGTTTGTAGTCAGCAGCAAGGTTATCAGGGGACCCCAGAGCTACCAGTTGAAAGATTACTAAACCTTTGAAAACATTTTCCGAGCTCTTGGAACCAGCCTAGGTAAAACCACATGTGAGCCGTTTTGCCTGAGACCATTGTGCCCAAGAAGGTATTTTTGTCGCGAACTTCCTGGAACGATTCCGATTGTGATCTTAAGCACATTCCCCGCCCCACCCCCCACCGCCACCCCGAGAAGATTTGCATTGTTTAGCTTGGCCCTCCTTCGTTTCTCTTGTGTGCATGAACTCTTTAGTGAGCATGCGCTCCAGGGGCCTCTGACTACAGAGGAAGGAAAGAAACAAAACACACACGGCAAGGGAGAGGTTTGGTCTAATTGTGCACCATCCCATGTGGAGGTGTTGAGGCAGCAGGATTTCCACACCGGTCCCAGTTAGGGAGTGTTGTCCGAGGCGGGTAGTCCGCCGGCGCACCCCGCTTCGGACCCCAGTTTTCCACTCCCAACAGCGGCTGGGACCTGAGCTTTGCAAGCCCGACACCTGCTTTGAGGCCAAGGCGCGGAACCCGCCACCTTTTCCCGCCACGCGGGGGCCGGGGGCGGGACCGGACGCCGAGCTCCGGTCCCCCCGCTACGCCGCCTTCACGGGCCCGGGGGGCGGGGACTGCAGCGCGCGCCGCTCGTGACCCCGCCTGCGTGAGCCGAGGCGCCTGCTGATTGGGCACGCGGCGGGTGTTCCTCCGGCGTCGCGTCCCTCTCCCCCCCGGGGTTTCCGCTCGCGGGAGGCGCGCGCGCGCTGTTCCGGTCGTTTCGGGACGCTCGCTCCGACATCGCGTCGGGCTCTTGCTCACCGTCGCTATGTCGCGACAGAGCACCTTGTTCAGCTTCTTTCCCAAGTCTCCTCCGCTAAATAACGCCAACAAGGCCCCAGCCAGGACCTCAAGCGGAGACAGCAGGGCCGCCGACACCTGGGCCTCTTCTACCCCCAGCGAGGATGCGGCCTGGAGAGAGGCTGCGCCTGGGCCCTTGGCGAGCTCCGCGACGCCGACCGAAACCAAGAAGCTCAATGGAAGGCTGCAGAGGCCGGGGACGCCCGCGACCCCCGCCAGGTAGGGCCTGGGAGGTGGGAGGCCTGAGGCGCGGGCATGGAGCCCCGGAGCCCGGGCATCGGAGGTTAGCGGAAGGGGCGAGGGGGTGCGCCGTGAGCATTTGGAAGCCGAGGATTGGGGGTTGCACAGCTGCCTTAAAAGAGCATTTTGGGGTGTTAAGTTGCATACAGGGGTGGGGGGGGAGGCGCGCAGAGTTAAGGCGCTTAGAGGGACGTGGAGAGTGGTTCCCCCGATGGGGGCTGGGTGGAGGAGGAGAGAGGGGCTGCCCGAGTTGGAAGCGCTGCATGTGGGGCGGGAAGAGGTGGATGGCGGAGGGGGTGGGGCCCGCTGGGGCGGGAAAGGAGGAATGCACGCCTGGCGGGGCGATGGGGGCAGGGGCCCCAAGTTCAGAGCTAGGTCAGTTGCTGCTCGAGGCACGTGTTTGCTGGGTTGACTTGAGCGGGGACGCCTTCACCCCTTGAGTGGGGTCTTTGCTCGATGTCCGGGGACGGGGACTGGTGGGGGGGTGGGTCTGCCCCCCAGCGCCGGAGGAGGTGTGTTTTGGGGCGGCCCCGGAGGCGTGGTTGGTCTGTGCGCTTTTGCGCGGAGGGAGGAGCCAAGGAATGTTGCGTTCAAGCTGAGCTCAAACCCCGAAAGCACGTTGGCCAAAACTGGAATCCATTAGTTTGGGGCATAGTGTCGAGAAGTCCTACTAAATCGAAACTGACTCCTTCGGGTTCAACAGAGACAGTAAATTGCAGTGGAGAAGATGGTGGATTCGAACTTGGTGACTTTGGGTTGGTAGTGTAACTCCTTACCCACTAGACTTCCAAAGCTTCCTCCAGTTTGCAAATCCTGTGAATCCACTCAACAGCAATGGCTTGGTTTTTTTTTGGGGGGGGGGTTATGAAGAAATTCACATATTTAGGGCAGGTTTTTCAGAGAGGTTATTCCTTGTAAAGGAACCTCATGCTTGGAAAGGTGGAGGATGGGGGAAAGAGGAAGACCGTCCACGAGATGGCTTGACAACAGTGACTGCAGCAGTAGGCTCAAGTACCAGGTTATAAGAATGGCACAGGCAGCATCAGAGTTTAGAGCTGTTGTTTGTCGCCTTAATGGCACCTAAAAACAACCTGATGGCTTAGGTTGATCTTTATACTAGTTGGTGGATTCCAGTTGCTGTTAGTATGACGCTAAGCAAGATGTTTTCCTCTGGCGTCCTATGGACCTCTGGTGACCCAGCTGGTAGAGAATTGCATTGCTAAATAAAGATGACTGCTCCGAGGAAGGAGAGGTAGTTCTGTTCCCTGTAATCCGTTCTCAGAAATTTATCTCTGGAGGGTCATCTGTGAGTTGGTTCTCACTCCAGTGCAATGAGTAACTTGAGGGAGATGACCATTCCCAAAGTCTTTTCCAGGTAGCGTTTTACTGTGTTTTGGATCCTGTAGAGTTAAGTATGACTTGTAGGACCCTGAACCTTGGACTCTTCTGTGCCAATCCACCTTGTTGGGAGTCTTCCTTTCTTTCACTGACCCTTCCTCCTCTACTTTTTCAAGCATGATGTCCTTTTCTAGGACTGGCTTCTCTTAACAACATGTCCTAAAGTATGTGAGATGAAGTTTCACCATCCTTGACTCTAGGGCGCACCCTGGCTGCACCTTCTTCAAGATCACAGTTTGTTTTGCAGGATTCCCGCAACTCACTTGTTTGGGCTGCTGTACTGTTACAGTTCAAGGGTATCTTTATCACTGTCCTGCTGTGAAATGTACATAAGTAATTGAGAAGACCTGTTGGATTGTTAATGGCCCTTAAAGAATGGACCTTTAAGATCTGGCTCTGGGGCAAAGGTTGTATGACCTGGGGCAGTTGAAGCACTTTAAACCGAATGAATGGAAATCCAAGTTCTTCATTAAAATCTCAGATAAAAGAAAAAGCCAAAACGCTTAAAAGTTTAACTGGCCTTTTCTTGGAGTGTTGCATGAGATTTTGATAAACTAGGCACAGGTCTCATTTTCTACCCAAAAGTAGGGTAGAAGCAGCTTTGTCTTTGAGTTGTGCTGGTGAAGAGTATTCAACTTCCTGGGAGGGATGAGTCCTTGGAGAAGGTCAGGGTGGAGGGACAGTGCAGGAGAGGAAGACCCTGGATGAGACGGTTTGACACAGTGACGAGGGTAATGAGAGTGAGACAGGCTCAGGATGGGAGTGGTTCAGAGCTGTTGTACATGGATTGCCATGAGCTGCAGGTGACTCAGGCACATAACAGCACCACCACCACATTGCATCTAAGAAGACACTAAGCCACACTGTTCATAGTATTCAAAACTGAAAATTTGATCTTGAGGTCTTTCCTGGGACGGAGCTTGGCAATCTCTTCCCACTCTGTGTGTGTGTGTACACGTACAGTGTCTGCCTCTTGAAGGCTGGATGCTAAGCCAATGCTGGTGACTAGTTCTGCTTCTCTCTTTATCTTTGGAAATCAAAATCTTTTTCATATTTCTTTGGTTAGGGAAAACCAATTGGATGTACATTTTTCCTAGAATTGGACACTTACTATATTAGGTACAGATGTGTTACACTGTTATGTTCCATCAAGTTGCCTGTGACCCTCCAGTGGATTTCCAGAGACTCTAAAATGGCAGGAGGAAATTGCTCATCTTTCTCTGTGGAGCAGATTCAAAACTGTGTGTGCCTTTGGGTTGGCAGCGCATCTTCTTACCAGTAGGCCACCATAGTTCCCAAGCTCTTTGCAGAAGGAGAGAAGAGGTTCAGGAAGAAAACTTACCCCCAAACCCTATATTCAAAGTAGGAGAACCAATTAATGGCTGTATATCCTGGCTTTCAGGAACAGAAATGTTTGAGAAAGTGCAGCTTCATGTCATCCTTCGGATATGTATATAGGCGAGGCTGGTCTTTGGAAGGGGTATCACGTTTGGGAAGGTGGAAGACCAGTGAAGGAGAGAGAATTGACACAGTGGACTCAAGGGTATTGTGTGGAAGGAAAGGACAGGGGTCAGATCTTTTCTTTGGGCCACTGTGGGTGGATGACATTCTAACACCACTGAGTATTTGATATCAAATGTCCTGACTTGAAGGTTCCTTACAAGGATTCTCAGCTTTTCTGTCTCAGTTTGACAGAGTCACGCTGGTTTGAACAACTCTTGAATGTTGACATGCACAGCAGAATTCCTTAGTGCAGAGTCCGCTTGCAAAGAACAGGCCTGGTATTTCTTGAGAAGAGGCTTTCGTCTTCATCATGAATGTTTGTACTTGAACATGATTGATGTTAAATGCATTCATTTAAGAGCTTGTGCTTTACACTCATCCAGGCCCAAGTAGTAAACGTTTTGTTTCTGAGATAACAGTAAATAATGAGGCAGTAGTAGAGTGACAGAAGCATTACAAGCTATATATATGTGATGCAGGATGGGCACCAGGGTAGGCTTTCAGCTTTGAGGCCAGAAGGACAAACTGGAGGTAGCCAGAGAAGAGAAAGGAAAGAGAACTTTGGAGACCAGTCACAGACAGGCTGGTGGGTCACCAAGACACTGGACATTGTGAAGCGTCAGTCACCAACAGCTCTGCTCAAGGGGCAAGGTGGGCGCATCCCCCCTTGATCACTCTGGTGAGATTTAGCATGAGTCCACTTCCCTTCAGGCTTCCCCTGCCCACGTGTGCAAGACCCTTGTCAAAAGCATTTCTTCTTTGGCAGCTTCTCAAGAGGCAACCCTAGAGTTAGATGAGAACATCTCTGGCCACCCCAGACTCGAGAGTCTCTGTACAGCTCCCTGCAGTTGGGAACTGCTAGCTCCCGACTGCCTCCCAAACTTTGGCCTCGGTCACAAGCTAGGACAGATCTTCATCAACTGCCCACACACCCCGTGCTCCAGTTTGGTCTGTACAAAGTGACATCCAGGCCTTACAGGCTCTTTGCTTGCTTCCTGGTGGGTTCGTTAATTCTCCAGTCACTAAATTCATGGAGACTACTTCCTGTCCTCCTTTTAGTTAAGCATTTATCAAAACTAGAAAAGGTATTATCAAAGAGAAGCATCAGACAGAGGCTGGGAGAAGCTTCTGGCATTCATTGTCTACTGTCCTCAGGACCACACCACTTTCCTCTTAATCCTTTTATCCCTTGGAGTCTCCGAGGAGAGATCCTCCATGGAGGGTCCCCTTGTCAGAGGGGCCTTAATAAGGAGGCATGACTGGAGCCTTAATACATAGTTTTAATCACCTCAGTCTGATTATGCATGATTACAGCAAGTCTGTCTTTCCCTTACTTGTGTCGGGGTGGGAGTGTCTGTATAGCACCTACTTGATTGGCTAATTGATATAGCTGAATGGAAGGAACTGCTCAGTCCTGGAAAATTGTCTGCTGAGACTGCTGAGTGACAGCAACAGTTACAGCTGAGTTAATCTTGCTGAAGATGCCCCTCCCCCTTTTTATCCCCACTAACTCCCTACCTTACCAAGCATGATGTCTGTCTCCAGGGGCAAGTCCCTGCCGAAAAGGCACTTGAGATAGTGTCATTCTTGTTGCTAAGCAACGTTCTGGCGGCACTAATTCCAATACAAGTTTAATTTTTTCAGTCTGTGGTATATACCTAATCTAAAGGCATTGTCCTCCTTCAGCCATTCTTATTCATTGCCCAGCTTCTTATTATCACCTATTGAAAATAACTGTGGTTTGGGTCACGCACACATTGTAGTCCTCAGTGTGACTACTTTGCTTTTTGCCTAAGCTGTTTTCAGAAACCAAAAAAAAAAAAAGGCCAAATCTAGTTCTTTGTTCCAAAGTCTTAATCCTGAAAGTCGATTAAGCCTTAAAGAAGTAGTTGCTATGAGCTGTGATGTCAGCTGCACTTTCTGTTCCAGAAAGCCAGGATATACAACCATTGACTGGTTCTCCTATCTTGAATATGGGGTCCGGGGGGTGAATTTTCTTCTGAACCTTCCAGCATTCTCTGCTAGACCAGCAAGCTTTGGCTCTCCTTGTTAAAATACTATCACCAAAACCGAGCATTGTGTCCCCTCCTGACACTGACCCTTTATGACTGAAGGCCCACAGACTTCCCAAGGCTGTAAATTCTCCATTATCTGCCCCTTATCTGCTGCAGAACAGCTGGTGGGTTCCAGCCGCTAACCCAGTTAGTAGTTGACCAACCAGGTTGTTTGGTCAGTTGCTGCTGCTGCTGTTGGGAGTCATCAGGGTGACTGCACTCATGACAGCCCACGAAGAACAGACCCGAGCATTGTGTCAGTAGCATTTTAACATTTCAGTCGTCGGCATTTTTACACAGTAAGTTTACATGTGTTTATGAATATCCCCTAATTTCTCTTAACATTTTTATAGCTTACAATAGCAGAGAATTGTAAGGTTTTGTTAGTAGTAAGCTATATGGAGGGAAAGGCGAGATGATGCTGAAAAGTGAAAGCATTCCATAAACAGTTCAGTTTACTACAGTATTTTAACTTTATAGATAAGGAATTTATTTTGAAATTTACAAACATTTCTCTAGAGAAGACGAACATTTGTCTTCCACATAAATGTAAAGATAAAGCTAAAAATTTTAAAAATTGGTTACTAAAAAGGATTATCTTTTAATTAAGATTTTTGTATATAATTTTAAAACAATTTATACAGATGACAGTGATAGAGCTCACTTTAGATGGTACTTTTTGAAGGAATAAAAATCTAGAATAATTTATAATGTGTTATAGCTATAGAAAACTTTTTTTTCTCTTTTGGTGTCTCTCAGAAACCGCAATTACTGTGGGGCCAGAAAGGAACTTTTGAGGGGTCAGCTGATCACATTTTTGCTCTGATTTTGAGACGAGTCATGTAGTTTCTCTGGGAGTCAGTTAGATGGCCTTAGATTACTGTGAATTTGTCACAAAGCAGGCAAAACCACTGGGTGTGAGAATCCCTTCACTTTCAGTATGTTTTTGTTAACTCTGTCCTTGAGCATAGTTACAACCACTAACAGACTGGATTTATCTATATAGCTGGTATCTTGTTATATATCCCTATCTAAACTGAACCTCCAGTTGATTTGCAAGGGAGGAGACTGACCTCCTTTCTTCCACAGAACAGCTGGTGGATTTGAACTCTTGATCTTTGTGTTACCAGTACAGCCCCTTTACGACTAAGCAACCAGAGCTCCTTAGCTGGTGTCTTCGTTGAGCCCTTTTTCTAGATCTTCCTTTGGTTTTTTTTGGGCACTGGAGCTTTTTGAAATATGTAGGACCTTGACAGGAAATGGCTTCCACGACAAAGTCTCATATGAGAACATTTCATGTCCCTTACAAATCACAGTCAGTACATGCTGTTTTAAGTTTGTGGGTCTGATTGTTTTCCTGTTAAGAGCCATATGATTGTTTAGGTGTGACTTGAAATTTTGAGAAAGCCTTAATACTGATTGTGATATTTGCATTATTTTAGAAAATGACCAGAACATTTTTTTAAAAGAAAAAAGAATCATCAGTTATATAATATCTAAACTTTATTATTAATTAAGGCCAGAAGACTATCCGGGAGCCAGAATGATGCCTTTCTTGGATGTGTGAGGTAGGTAGTTGGCTGTGAGGCTGATTATTAACCAAGTTCTGTCTTTTCTTTTGGCAGCAGTTCCTGTGACTTTTCACCAGGTGATCTGGTCTGGGCCAAGATGGAGGGTTATCCCTGGTGGCCTTGTCTGGTGTACAACCACCCTTTTGATGGAACATTCATCCGTGAGAAAGGAAAATCAGTTCGCGTTCATGTCCAGTTCTTTGATGAGAGCCCAACAAGGGGCTGGGTTAGCAAACGTCTAGTAAAGCCATACACAGGTGAGGAGAGAACCACTGGGCAGGTGTGTGTGTTGGGGGTTGTGGGTGAGAGATCTGTGCAGGAGCCTGGTGGGATGAATGCATTTCACTGCAGGAGAGCAGTTGTCAAAGCTGCTGGCTCTGGGGGAGAAGAGAGCAGCTAGTCTTGAGGCTGTAGAATGGAACTTTTATTTCTGGTTTTCCTGTGATTTATGGCATTATGTCCTTAAAGAGAGAAATGAGCTCATGATTGGAATTGGTCTGCTTTAGAGATCAGACAAAAGTCGGGGGGAGTTCAAAGGATCCAGGAGAATAATAGATAAGGTCTGTGCATCAGTATGCTTCCAGATCTCACTGGGGGTCTGTGTTCCTGCAGATTTGTGGGGCCCCAGGCCCACCTTCATTTTCCACCATCAGTGATTCTGCCTGTGTAGGCTCAGCTGGGTGGCACAGAAATACACTTGAGCATGAACGAGTGAGTCCTGATTGATTCTAGATCCTCAGGCTTCAGGATTGGTTGGTTACTGGGTTCATTATTCTAGAATCAGAAACTGAGGGAGAGTCTCTCTGTAAATTGGGCTTTAAATAGGGGTCGGGGGAGTCTGGTCAGGATGGGAGAGACTGATGTCTGACACATGGAAAAGAACCAGGAAATCTAGTTCTGGTGACTTGTTGACACTGTTTACTCATAGTGTGCCCAGATGATTAAGGGAAGACCTTGCCAGGGCCATTTTTTGTTGAAATGAGAATTTATAACATCTACCCTATGCATACTGTGTATCCTTTATAATCTTAAATTGTTGCAGTATAAGCTTCAGTCAGCAATAGGGTATGGGAAGGGGAATTTTGTATTTTCCATTTATAGATTACATGGCAAGCGTTATGTAATGAGATGTGGGATGGGGTCAGAATGGGGAGTAGGCACTTCTGGGAAGGTTCACGGCACCCTCCGTAAAAGTTGCCAATTCTTTGGAAGTATAGGTGTTGGCTTAGTTTTAGGACACAAAAAGAAGGCAATAGTATCTAATGTTTTGGAATCACTTAAATTTAGATTGCTTTAAGGACCCTCCTTTCCCTCACCCCCTACTTACTTATGTGCAGAAGTATGAAACAAAGATGTTTCTACTTCTGCCTCCTGAAAAAGAATAGCATTACACCATTAGATTTGTAATATGTTGTATTTTGCCAGTGGATAAAAGTGTCTTACGTTGCCAAAGTCATGGTTCATGCTTTTAGGACCTTTTAATGTTTGGATCCTAGAAAATAGAGTTTAAAAGGAAACTGTGAAGCTGTGGGACAAACATTTTTTTAATACTGGGGGAACCCTTCTAAAGGCTTCCTTGAAGAGGTTTGCCTCATTTAATTAACACCAGCCCCAGGCCTAGAAGTGGGCTTGTCAGAGCCAGAAGTTGCCACGTCAAGCAGGCAAAAGAAGTAATTGTTTCATTGGTGGTTTCCCCTTCATGATTCCTTGAAGATCTAGATCAATTAGAAAAAAAATGGGAGTGTTAAAAATGCATGATATTTGTTGTTAAGAGCCCTTGGGTTGGAGCTGACTCAACTGACTCTCCATTGGGTTTTCAGAGACTTTATTGCACAGGAGGAGATAGATGGTCCATCTTTTTCTCTCGGAGCTGCTGGTGGATTTGAACTGCCTACCTTTAGGTTTTCAGTACAAGTGTTTACCCACTAGGCCACCAGAGCTTCCTTTCTGTTCACTAGCACAGGTTTATTGTTGTGTGCTCATGAGTTGGAACTGACTCATAGAACTGACCCTCTTTTCAGAGTCAATAAATTGCATGGGAAGAGAGACTGCCCATCCTTTTTCTGAGGAGCAGCTGGTGGATTTGAACTGTGTGCCTTAATTTGGAAACAAAAAAAAAAACCCTAATTTTTTTTTTTGTTTTAAAAAGGTTCAAAAGCAAAGGAAGCCCAGAAGGGAGGCCATTTTTACAGTTCCAGGCCTGACATACTCCGAGCCATGCAACATGCAGATGAAGCCTTAAAGAAAGACAAGATGAAGAGGCTGGAATTGGCAGTGTGTGATGAGCCCTCAGAGCCAGAGGAGGAGGAGGTGGAGGTGGGACGTTAGTGTTTCAGTCAGGTGATCCTGACTCTCAGCAACCTTTAAGGACAGCGTAGACCTCCCCATTAGGTTTTCTGAGCTCTAAGGTTCACAGAAGTTGACTGCCATCTTGTTGTCTTGTTGTTGGAGAGTTCCAACCACTGACCTTTTGGTTAACCGTTGCAAGTGTTCGTGCAGGCTTCTGTGTGCCCCCCTGCATTTTTCCAGTAAGTTCTGATTCCTTTTTACTGAGTGTCCCAGGAGAGCAAGGCATGTGCTATGGGAAATAGTACCATTTTGGTAGCAAGCAGAATTAGGGACAGTACTGGCTCGGTAAATAATTGGCCATGTACTTCCCTGTGAAATGTAGTCAGGCCCTGCCTAACAGTCACTCAGGGTTCAGATCTATTCATTGTTCGTAGGGTCTGCTGTGAGTCTTGCTCAGTTACAACATGCTTTGCATTCTTACACTTGTATTTTGCGTTGTTAAGAATTAACTTTGAAGAATACGCCATAGGTTAACAAACGCCCTTGTCAGTGGTGCCTATTTTAATGGTAGTTGAAACTACAATGGTCTCATTGATAGTCCTTCAGGAGGAAAATGAGTTTCTCATTTCTGGAGGGGGAGTCTTCTCCGAGTACAAGAAATTGAAACATACTAGGAAGCTAATTTTACACATATAAGGGTTATTTTGTTTAAAAAAAGATTCTTTCCATCCTTTGCAGGCAGCTGCAGTATATGCCGATGATAAGGGAGTCGAGAGTGAAGAAGACACACAGCCCAAGATACAAGCGTCCAGGCGCAGTGGCCGCCAAATTAAAAAGCGCAGGGTTCTGTCTGACTCGGAGAGCGACGCTGGGGGCTCAGACGTGGAGTTCAAGCCGGATGCGAAGGAGGGAGGCAGCAGCGATGAAATGAGCAGCGGGATGGGTGACAGTGAGAGCGAGGGCCCATACAGTCCTGTCAGAGGTGGTCCAAAACGGAAGAAAATGATGACTGGAAACGGCTCTCTTAAAAGGAAAAATCCAAAGAAGGAAGCACCCTCGGCCACGAGAAGGCCAGCTGGTGTTTCGTTGGAAACTAAGAATACTTTAAGTGCTTTTTCTGCTTCCCAGAATTCAGAATCTCCAGCCCAGGTTGGTGGAGGCAGTGAGGACGGTAGCCGGCCGGCTCTGTGGTATCATGAGACTTTGGAGTGGCTTAAGGAGGAGAAGAGGAGAGATGAGCGCAGACGGCGGCCTGACCACCCTGATTTTGATGGCTCCACACTCTACGTGCCTGAAGATTTCCTGAATTCCTGTACTCCTGGAATGAGGAAGTGGTGGCAGATTAAGTCTCAGCATTTCGATCTTGTCATATTTTACAAGGTGGGCAAGTTTTATGAGCTGTATCACATGGATGCTCTCATTGGAGTCAGTGAGCTGGGACTGGTATTCATGAAAGGCAACTGGGCCCATTCTGGCTTCCCAGAAATTGCGTTTGGCCGATACTCCGATTCCCTGGTGCAGAAGGGTTACAAAGTAGCACGAGTGGAACAAACTGAGACCCCTGAAATGATGGAGGCACGGTGCCGCAGAATGGCGCACACATCCAAGCATGACCGGGTGGTGAGGCGGGAGATCTGCCGGATCATCACCAAGGGCACCCAGACCTACAGTGTGCTGGAAGGCGAGCCCTCCGAGAGCTACAGCAAGTACCTCCTTAGCCTTAAAGAGAAGGAGGAAGAGTCTTCTGGCCACACCCGTGTGTATGGGGTGTGCTTTGTTGACACCTCAATGGGGAAGTTCCATGTTGGTCAGTTTCCAGATGACCGCCATTGCTCCAGACTCAGGACTCTCGTGGCACACTACACTCCTGTGCAGGTCTTGTTCGAGAAAGGCAATCTCTCTGCAGAAACCAAGATGGTTCTGAAGAGTTCGTTATCATCATCTCTCCAGGAAGGGTTGATACCAGGCTCCCAGTTTTGGGATGCAGCCAAAACTTTGAGAACTCTCCTTGAAGGAGGGTATTTTACAGAAAAGCTAAATGAGGACAAAGGGGTGATGTTACCTCAAGCACTTAAAGAGATGACCTCCGAGTCTGACTCTATTGGCTTGACCCCCGGAGAGAGGAGTGAATTAGCCCTCTCTGCTCTGGGGGGTTGTGTCTTCTACCTCAAAAAATGCCTCATTGACCAGGAACTTTTATCAATGGCTAATTTTGAAGAGTATATTCCCTTGGATTCTGACATGGTCAGTGCCCCAAAGTCCAGTGCTCTTTTTGCTAAAGCCCATCAACGAATGGTGCTCGATGCAGTGACATTAAACAACTTGGAAATTTTTCTGAATGGGACAAATGGGTCTACTGAAGGGACCCTGCTAGAGAGGATTGACACTTGCCACACCCCCTTCGGTAAGCGGCTCCTCAAGCAGTGGCTCTGTGCCCCCCTCTGCAGCCCATTCCCCATCAATGATCGGCTGGATGCCATAGAAGACCTCATGGCGGTGCCTGACAAGATCTCTGAGGTTGCAGACCTTCTGAAGAAGCTTCCTGACCTTGAGAGGCTGCTAAGCAAAATACATACTGTTGGGTCTCCTTTGAAGAGCCAGAACCATCCAGATAGCAGGGCCATCATGTACGAAGAAACGACATACAGCAAAAAAAAGATTATTGACTTTCTCTCTGCTCTGGAAGGGTTCAAAGGGATGTGTAAAATTATAGAGATAATGGAAGATGTTGCTGATGACTTTAAGTCCAAACTCCTTAAGCAAGTCATTACTCTCCAGACAAAAAATCCTAACTGCCGCTTTCCTGATCTGACTACAGAGCTGAACCGATGGGATACGGCTTTTGACCATGAAAAGGCTCGTAAGACTGGACTTATAACTCCCAAAGCAGGTTTTGACTCTGATTATGACCAAGCCCTTGCTGACATTAAAGAAAATGAGCAGAGCCTCCTGGAGTACTTAGAAAAACAGCGTAGCCGAATTGGTTGTAGGAGCATTGTCTACTGGGGAATTGGCAGAAACCGGTATCAGCTGGAAATTCCAGAGAGTTTCACCACCCGGAATTTGCCAGAAGAATATGAGTTAAAATCTACCAAGAAGGGCTGTAAACGATACTGGACCAAAACGATCGAGAAGAAGTTGGCTAATCTGATAAATGCTGAAGAACGGAGAGATGTTTCACTGAAAGACTGCATGAGGCGACTGTTCTTTAACTTCGATAAAAATTACAAGGATTGGCAATCTGCTGTTGAGTGCATTGCAGTGTTGGGTAAGACCTTAAATAGCTTATGCTAATAATTCACACATAATCTTAGAAACAAGTAACAAGGTACGTACTTACATACATACCTCCTCACTAGGCAAGATGACTAGCTTGCCATGGTAACGGGTATTTGTCACTTAAAACTCGAGTTCTTAGTAGGCTTCTAGCCTTTCTTAGTCTTCAATAATTGAATCAAAGATTGATTCATTTTAGTAGTTAATGAGACAAACATTTTTTCAATGTTATGAGCAACTTACCTCGACCCTTATTTTACTCTTTCCCGTTCAGCCATTTCCCATATAGTTGCTAGACCGTAGTTATTCAAAATTAGTCAATCTGTTTTCCTCCTAAAATTATTTGGGTAAGTATACCTACCTAGTCCTTGACTCCAGCGGTTCAAGGACTTCAGTCCTTTGAGGAGGGAGATTATTGGGCAAAGTTACTCCCCATCTTCTAAGTATTAAGAACACTTTGGCAAATGATTTCATTTTCTGCACAGGTATGAGGCAGATGTCATTATCAGTGTATGACAGAGAAGTTAGGGCTCTGCTCTTTAATCTTTGATAATGTACTGAGCCAGCCAATAGCTCCCTTTCCTCCTCTCTGACAGATGTCTTGTTGTGTCTGGCTAACTACAGTCGAGGGGGTGATGGTCCCATGTGCCGTCCGGTGATTATGCTGCCTGAGGATGACACACCTCCCTTCTTAGAGCTGAGAGGGTCACGCCATCCCTGCATTACGAAGACCTTTTTTGGAGATGACTTCATTCCTAATGACATTCTGATAGGCTGTGAGGAAGAGGAGGAGAATGGCAAAGCTTACTGTGTGCTTGTTACTGGACCCAATATGGGGGGGAAATCTACACTCATGAGGCAGGTAAGGTCAGATTTCTACACTTGAGTAAATCACACGGTGGATGTGAAATACTGCAGAACTGGGGCCTCGTGCTTAGCATGCAGCGTACACTGGAGTGTGTCACAAGAGCTGCTAAAATGACATCTTTAGGGCATCCCCGCTGGACAAAGAGAAGAGTCTCCTTATGGGTCAACTCTGAGTCAGTCCATCCACTTAATAGCTCAGTCCTTACCCTGTTACATGACCTAGGGTTCTTGTGATAAGGACTGGAGACCCACAATGTGAAGTGACATGCAACCATCACTTTTGGACAACATAACCAACTCTGATTCTAATATTTACAGGCTGAGTCTGTCATTTTAAAAATCCCCATCCAAATCTCAGCTCCTGGGCCGCTGAATTGAACCCAACTCTTAACTGGGCTAATTTCAAAGGTTATAAATGGACTCTTGTCTCAGCAATGGAAGGTTTTTAACCCTAGCATCTTTTCATTAGCTAATTTCTTGAATCACTGCCTGCTTCTATGAAAGGCCTGCGGCTCTTCCTCATTATTGTTTTGACTCACAGCTGACCCTCCAGTGGGTTTTCTGAAGCTCTAAATCAGAGCTTTATGCCCACACTTGGGTTAGCAGTGAAACTGCCTGTGGCTTTATTATAATAATGGAAAGAGGACTTATGGTCTTAGGACAGTGTCTTAAGTCTCTAGGGAGCTAGCTCTAGTGTCATGCTGTGTAACATTCTGCACTGCTAACTAAAAGGTCAGGGTTTGAATCCACTAGCTGCTGCTCTGAGTGGGCTGTAAAGATGTCTAGCCTTGAAAGCACCACAGCGGTGGTGGCACTTTTTTTGTTTGCTTGGTTAGGACTGTGAAGGTGTTTTACTAGCTTGGTTTACAGACTTGTAAATTCTGTATATTAATACTAGTCATAAAAGGGCTTTTCCTCCACTCACAGGCTGGCCTCTTGGCTGTAATGGCCCAGATGGGTTGCTATGTACCTGCTGAAGTGTGTAGGCTCACACCGATTGATAGAGTCTTTACTAGACTCGGTGCCTCAGATAGAATAATGTCAGGTAAGATTTTTCCTCCACCTAAAGTTGGCCTTTTTCAATACTATGACAGTTAATTTCTGCATGCTAATAGACATTTAAAGTTCTTTTCCATTTTCTGGTGAATAACATGATGAATCTTAAGAGGTTTAGAACATGGAGCTACTAGGTAACTCTTGTTTTGTGATTTGCCCCCACCCCTCAGGTGAAAGTACCTTCTTTGTGGAGCTGAGTGAAACAGCCAGCATCCTTAAACACGCGACAGCGCATTCTCTGGTGCTTGTGGATGAACTAGGTGAGGCACTCTGCTGCAGTGAATTGCACTGTATTCTGTACTGTCCCAGGCACAGTGGTGGGACTGGGCCTTCTGACCTTGTCCATTTTAGTCTGGAAACTGTTCAGGAAGCAAGCCTTCACTGAACCCAGGTCTCGTGCATGAGAAGAACCCAGTGCCAAGACTCGAGTGACCGTAGGGGACAGACTGCCACATCCACGGATCTTTATAGAAGCCCCCTTTTTGTTAGCAGCTAAATTACTTGAAGAGTAGGGTTCACAATGACACTCCAGAGTTGCTTTAGAGGAGGGAACGCCACAGTTTCTCCCTCACAGCTGCCTACACTGCTCTCTCAGCCTCGAGCAATCCCCATTGTAAAGCAAAGCTATGAAGACGGGCGAAGTCTGTGCAGAGGAAATCCAGGGGATGGGCAGCCTTGTTTAGTCCAATTTGACGTTAGAAGGCAAACTGTATTACATACCTTTTATTTACATTTACCTCCCAGGCAGAGGTACGGCCACATTTGATGGGACAGCAATAGCAAACGCAGTTGTTAAGGAGCTTGCTGAGAACATAAAGTGCCGGACATTATTTTCTACCCACTACCATTCATTAGTGGAAGATTACTCTCAAAATTACGCTGTGCGCCTAGGACATATGGTATGTGCAGGGTAAAAAAATTTTTTTTGAAGGGACTTAATTTAGGTATTTGCACAGCTTAGATATTAATGATTTCTGTTTGTTTTAAAGGCATGCATGGTAGAAAATGAATGCGAAGACACCAGCCAGGAGACTATTACCTTCCTCTATAAATTCATTAAGGGAGCTTGTCCTAAAAGCTATGGCTTTAATGCAGCAAGACTTGCTAATCTTCCGGAGGAGGTTATTCAGAAGGGACACAGGAAAGCAAGAGAATTTGAGAAGACGACCAAGTCTCTGCGACTCTTTCGGTAATTTCAGTCAGAGCTAACTTTAGACATGGGGGTGGGAGATGAGGCACTGCAGAAAATGGAAATGAATTTAAACTTTTTTTTTTTTTAAAGGGAAGTTTGCCTGGCTAGTGAAAGGTCAACTCTAGATTCTGAAGCTGTCCATAAGTTGCTGACTTTGATTAAGGAACTATAGACTGCATTGAAAGGTTTGACTTGACAAAAGGTGGTAAATTCAGACAACATTATGATCTAATAAACTTTATTTTTTAAAAATGACCATTTTTTTTCCATTTTCTTTCTAGGAAATTAAACCCTTTTAATTCTTATCTACCTTCTACATAATGGTTATTGAATACTCCACAATATATTAAGTCTAGATGTTATGGTACATGCATACACTTTCAGGCTGTTTATACCCACTGTCACCAATACACATAAATGGGGGAAGAAAAAAAGCTATGAAACTGTATAGGGCTGTATATATACTTGTCTCAGCTTAATGCAGGAAATTGTTTTAATTTCCAGCAGTTTTGTCTAGACTGTTCAAAAAAAACTATGAACAGAGTTCAAATACAGGACTGTTTTGAAGAGACTTTCTAAAGTGTACTTTAAAACATAGTAGTTTTTACCTTTCACAAAACTGAGTTACAAGAATACTTTTTTGTTTTACAGTGCATCCCTTCCTAGGAAGTCTCATTAAAACACTCACTTTTTCTAGGGGTGGCTTTTGAATGCTGCACAGGGAAGGGAAGGAAATAATAGTCTTAACTTTTTCTTAAAGGATACCAGAAACATTGCTGGATATAATTTAAGATTAGTGTTTTCTCTTTCATAGAAAGAACGTACATACTGGGACATGAGTACAGTTACAGCAAGTCTAGGTGTGCTAACAAAACAGGGCACATTCAAGTACAATAAGATTTTGCTTGAAATTAAAAACAAACTACATGAGATTAAAGCATTAAAATCATATTTCTCAATCTGAATACATGTTAAAAAAAATCAAAAGAAACGCAGAAGTGCTAGCTCACATTTTTACCATATTACAAAAGCAATTGGTACCCATGTCCATAAAGGCAGCAACAAAGCTGCTTGTCTATGGAAGATTCTACTGCAAATTGGACTGCATTCAATGCTAGTTGTAAAAACACCAGCTTTTCACAAGTTGGTATCTGTACAAAATTGCAGCTTATTTTCTTCACTTCTGTCCCTTCCAAAGTCTTTACACAGTAATGCTAAAACACCCAGCTGTGAGATCCTGAGTCAATATATTGCCACTTTCTTTTTGGTAGCTTGAGCTTCATAGTGTCAACTGACCTTGTGTATCCATTTTTAATAAAGTCTCTTCCTGTAGCATGGGCAAGTATTTTAATTCTTCTTCCAAAAAAAAGTTTTAAGTTATGATGTTAAATGGCAGGACTTTTCTTTAGGGAAGGAGTTCAGTTGTGCTGCAATGTATTAGATTCTATGGGTGGAGCAGAGTCATATAGTGTGTCTGTATCATGTGTAGGCTCACCAGCTAATGTACATGGGTTAGACAGTGTTCCAGCACCACAGTCACAGAAAAACCTAAAGCAAAATGAAAACCCAAATATTAGGAAAGAAAGTGAGGGGGAAAGAATAGGGTAACATAGCAATCAAGTGTGCTACATACCTATCATGTCTAATAAATTCTACATCATGTCCCTGATGGCACTTCTTAATGCAGTTCACACATATGGCATTTCGATCTGTGGTGTTACAAGTGTGACATCTAAAAAGAAAAAGTTTGTATTATTTTCCTAGAACGTTTATTGAAATTATTTTATAGCCTATATTAACCTTTGACTTTTTGCTTATAACAAGGACCAAAATGGGAAAATTAGGTGTGATACAGCCCGGATTAATTTTGAAGAACAGACATTTTACTAAGTGAATTTTTTCTCTTTGCAGGAAATTTACAATATATAGAAAGTTCAGACTTCTACTTTTAAGGAGTTTGGCTCCTATCAAGGTGAAAAATCGCACTGCCACTGATGGATTTAGTCACTGGGTCCCAACTGAATGACCCTCTGGGACCCAGAAGAAGGTGCCCCAGGGTTTTCAAGGCAGTAAACTTATGAGAGCAGATGGCCTCAGCTTTCATCACTGATCTTTTGGTTAGTAGCCAAAGTTCTTTAACTACTGCGCCAATGGCCTGTTTTGCTTAGAAATTTTTGAGAAAGCCATGCACTTTAAAAGGGCTGCTGCTATCACTAGTTAACTACATGCTCAAACTGGAAGTTTTCCATATTTTTGAACCTCAAGCGGACTGCTAACAAAACCCCGTAGTACTTCTACCAGCAATCAGCCCATCTCCTTGTTTAAGCCCACCCTCCCTACCAGTTTAGAGGGGGAAAATACTAATGTCCTCTTAGCAAGACTCAAATAATTAAGAACTATACCTGTAGAAATCATGCATGGGATAGCTGGTATAACTGGATATTTTATATAAACATTGGCCTCTACTAACAGCCTTTTCTATGGCATCTTGATTGTTCATTATTTTGTTATCTGTAATAAAAGAAAAAAATAAATTCTAAAGGGCAAAAACTTTTAGAATTTTAAAACATTATTGTAAAGATTATAGAATTAACCTAATAAAATAATTACTAGTTTTAAAAGGATAACCAGTGAAGCTTTTATTATAAGAAGCTGAGAATTAAAATTCATTTTCCTTATGAAAGCTATTCAATCTACCTATTTAGAGTCAACCTAATCTGTTCCAAATAATTCCTTAGGTTGGTGTCAACATAGTGATAAAGTGAATTCACTTCCTCAATAGCAAACAATGGCTCCTGATCTTTTCATGGCATATTTTATATATTTATAGGCAGAACACAGACCCCCAACATACCTTTCATTGTCACATTAACACCAGATGCTAAAAATAAGCCTCCAAATCGGTTGTTAAAAATCTGATTGCCTTCTAATGTTGCAGTTGCATGGTTTGTAATTTCAATACCTAAAGTAAAATTTACAAATGGTAGATGCATCACTTTATGGAGTTTTTAAAAGAGCAGCCCTGAAATATAACAAGCATAGTAATATCTAAAGGAACGTAAATGTTTACTTGAAATCAGTAAGAGGCAAAGTCACTTTTCATTGTTCATTTTCCTTGCTAATAAGATTGATGGTTCAAAAATTTTAGGGCATTTTTAAAAAAAAAACTTAATGTTTGTAATTCTTTGTAAACCAAGGAGGAGAGAGCGAGCCCAGCCAGTTGACACTGAAGAGAACTGGAGCCTGACGGGTACAGAGAGGAACTAGAAAGTAGTTGCTTTCTCGCTGGCAAATGGTAGTTGATCACATTTACCCAGTAGGTTTTAAAAAAACCAAACAAACAACATGGTTTGCAGTTAGCTGCCCTTTGAGTCATGGTCCTAAGGGGCCTGCTAGTGAGTTCTGAGCCCCACCCAGGGACTCCGTTAAGTACAAAGCTTCATTTATCCCAATGATTGAGTCGTTAGGGCATTGGTTCCTACAAGTCTGATATACCCTGGAAGGTCTAGACCGTGCATCGTTAAAAACACTTAAAAAGACTGAATATATTAAAACCAAACATTGCTGTCTGAAAGGAGCCACAGGTAATGAAAGAAAATACAAACCTGCAGCAAATCCATCAAATATTCTGTTTTTCCTTAAGACTGGATGACTATTAGTGCTGATGAGAACACCTGCTTGAGCATTCCTGAAAATATCATTTTCTTCAAGAAGACCTATAATAAAATATTTCTTAGATGAAGGCTAATGCATATTAACAGATTTTACTAACCTTTGGGGGTTATTTAGACTTTGGGTTGCCTATCAACTAACCTGCAAAATTCACTGTAAAAATCACTGTAAACTGTAAAATTTCTCAGCCAAAAAGAAAGTTTATTAGCAATTTTTGTTTAAATTCTAATTATTTCTAAGAACAATCAGCAAATCATTCTAGCCAATAAAGAGAAGGTTCCATGACGGCTTGACTACTCTCGACAGGGGTCAGCTCTTTCTAGAACCTCTGTGCTCTGAGTTGAGAGCCTTTATTACTGATCATTCCCTGATGAGTTCCTTTTCTCCAGAGTTTTCATCTGCTGCTTGGTTTCCCATTTCCTGAAAGGGCTGCCTGATTGTGCTACCTCCTGCTTAAGTAACTACTTCCCAGAAGTAAAACCCAACCAATCAATCTGGCAATAAAAAGCTGCCATTTCTTTGTCATACTACTGGCTCCACATTTTTCTATCCCAGATATTTTTGGCTTAATAGCCCCCATGGTGGATACTTCTGCCCTGGCTGATGCTCCCATGTCCTGATTATTCATTTTCTCTCCGTTCTCTTTCTTCTGTAAGTTATTTTATATACAATTAGGCAAAACAGGGTCTACCCCTTTTTAGTGATATGGGGACTCTGAAATTGGTCAGGAAGTGTGTGCTAGTGCTCATCACTCGTGTAAATGCAAACCCTGTGGCACAGGGAGTTCCAACTGCTTGTGGACTGGTGGACTTCAGGAAGCAGCCATCCATCGGTTCCTTTCCCCATGGAGACCATGTTCTCCCTTGCTCCTTTTAACCGTTAGATGCTAGTATTCTAGGGTCCTATTCTTGGCTCTTTACCCTGTACCTCCATCCAGTCTTGTGACTTTTTTAGACTCCCATGGTCACATTTTGTTGCGTTACGTTACCATTTTTGTTTGGTGCCCTCAAGTCAGGTACAACTACTAGTGACTTCTGGGAGCAGATGTGAATCCTATGACCACCTCTGATACACAGGACCCCACTGTAGTCCCCCAGGTGCTAAAGCTTACGTACGTTTCTTTTAGCTTAGTTTAATTACTTGTCTAATCATGACTTAGATGCTTGTAACTCACCATACTGTTTTCCACAAAAGCGTTGTTTCTCTATTACCTTATTTCAGTGGAAGGTACCATTCATTACCATCTGTTTGTCTTTCAACACCTGTATTCAATGACGACTCGGTTCTGCTGCCCCTTTATGGTCTTTAAAGTAGTTCCCTCCCTTTTCCACTCTCCAGCTATTACCTGATTCAGGCTCATTATTCTTTCTTAGGTTATTCCCGAATAGAGTCCAAACTCTTTATGTCCTGCCTCACTTTCTAGTAGTCCCTTTGCCGTACTACACAGCTTTGTTCTCTGGAGACCTTAGTTTACAGTGTACTCCACTACCAGACTCGACATTTTGTCTGCAGTACTGTTTTAGTACTACTGCATCACACAGTGCTTGGTTCAGAGATGCAGAACCAGTATGAGGGGGAA